AAACCATGAGTTCAAGCTATACCATCTACAACAGTATTTCCCCAGTGATAAACCAAAAGAACCCATGAGTTCAAGCTATACCATCTACAACAGTATTTCCCCAGTGATAAACCAAAAGAACCCATGAGTTCATGCTATACCATCTACAACAGTATTTCCCCAGTGATAAACCAAAAGAACCCATGAGTTCAAGCTATACCATCTACAACAGTATTTCCCCAGTGATAAACCAAAACAGCCCATGAGTTCAAGCTATACCATCTACAACAGTATTTCCCCAGTGATAAACCAAAATAGCCCATGAGTTCAAGCTATACCATCTACAACAGTATTTCCCCAGTGATAAACCAAAACAGCCCATGAGTTCAAGCTATACCATCTACAACAGTATTTCCCCAGTGATAAACCAAAAGAGCCCATGAGTTCAAGCTATACCATCTACAACAGTATTTCCCCAGTGATAAACCAAAAGAACCCATGAGTTCAAGCTATACCATCTACAACAGTATTTCCCCAGTGATAAACCAAAATAGCCCATGAGTTCAAGCTATACCATCTACAACAGTATTTCCCCAGTGATAAACCAAAAGAACCCATGAGTTCAAGCTATACCATCTACAACAGTATTTCCCCAGTGATAAACCAAAACAGCCCATGAGTTCAAGCTATACCATCTACAACAGTATTTCCACAGTGATAAACCAAAAGAGCCCAAGAGTTCAAGCTATACCATCTACAACAGTATTTCCCCAGTGATAAACCAAAACAGCCCATGAGTTCAAGCTATACCATCTACAACAGTATTTCCCCAGTGATAAACCAAAACAGCCCATGAGTTCAAGCTATACCATCTACAACAGTATTTCCCCAGTGATAAACCAAAAGAACCCATGAGTTCAAGCTATACCATCTACAACAGTATTTCCCCAGTGATAAACCAAAAGAACCCATGAGTTCAAGCTATACCATCTACAACAGTATTTCCCCAGTGATAAACCAAAAGAGCCCATGAGTTCAAGCTATATCATCTACAACAGTATTTCCCCAGTGATAAACCCAAATTGCCCATGAGTTCAAGCTATACCATCTACAACAGTATTTCCCCAGTGATAAACCAAAACAGCCCATCAGTTCAAGCTATACCATCTACAACAGTATTTCCCCAGTGATGAACAAAAAAACCCATGAGTTTAAGCTATACCATCTACAGCAGTATTTCCCCAGTGATAAACCAAAATAGCCCATGAGTTCGAGCTATACCATCTACAACAGTTTTCCCCAGTGATAAACCAAAACAACCCATGAGTTCAAGCTATACCATCTACAACAGTATTTCCCCAGTGATAAACCAAAACAGCCCATGAGTTCAAGCTATACCATCTACAACAGTATTTCCACAGTGATAAACCAAAAGAGCCCAAGAGTTCAAGCTATACCATCTACAACAGTATTTACCCAGTGATAAACCAAAACAGCCCATGAGTTCAAGCTATACCATCTACAACAGTATTTCCACAGTGATAAACCAAAACAGCCCATGAGTTCAAGCTATACCATCTACAACAGTATTTCCCGAGTGATAAACCAAAAGAACCCATGAGTTCAAGCTATACCATCTACAACAGTATTTCCCCAGTGATAAACCAAAAGAACCCATGAGTTCAAGCTATACCATCTACAACAGTATTTCCCCAGTGATAAACCAAAAGAGCCCATGAGTTCAAGCTATATCATCTACAACAGTATTTCCCCAGTGTTAAACCAAAATAGCCCATGAGTTCAAGCTATACCATCTACAACAGTATTTCCCCAGTGATAAACCAAAATAGCCCATGAGTTCAAGCTATATCATCTACAACAGTATTTCCCCAGTGATAAACCAAAACAGCCCACGAGTTAACTCTAGCAGTACCATCTACAACAGTATTTCCCCAGTGATAAACCAAAAGAGCCCATGAGTTCAAGCTATATCATCTACAACAGTATTTCCCCAGTGATAAACCAAAATAGCCCATGAGTTCAAGCTATACCATCTACAACAGTATTTCCCCAGTGATAAACTAAGAGCCCATGAGTTCAAGCTATACCATCTACAACAGTATTTCCCCAGTGATAAACCAAAAGAACCCATGAGTTCAAGCTATACCATCTACAACAGTATTTCCCCAGTGATAAACCAAAAGAGCCCATGAGTTCAAGCTATATCATCTACAACAGTATTTACTCAGTGAGAAACCAAAATAGCCCATGAGTTCAAGCTATACCATCTACAACAGTATTTCCCCAGTGATAAGCCAAAATAGCCCATGAGTTCAAGCTATACCATCTACAACAGTATTTCCCCAGTGATAAACCAAAATAGCCCATGAGTTCAAGCTATACCATCATCTACATCAATTACATCTATGTCATTATCATCATCTACATCAGTTAAATATACATCATCTCCTCCATCAGTTAAATCTATTTCATCTACATCAACACAGTCTATATCATCACCTCTATCAGATTAATCTATATCATCTTAATCATCTACATCAGTTCAATCTACATAATAATAATAATAATAATAATAATAATAATAATAATAATAATAATAATAATAATAATAATAATAATATAAAAAAAAAAGAATGAGGACTTTACAACATCAGACAGACATATATAATGATATGATTACAAAAAAACAAACAATTAAATTAGAAAACAGAAAACATGCTGAAAATATTTAACATAGAAAACATTATTAGGTCTTTAAGTCCGTTCTTGCAGTCAAAGTAGGTGAGTTTTAAGAGCACTCTTGAATGAGAGATCACTTTCTTTGTGTCATCATCATCTACATCTGTTCAATCTACATCATTATCATCATCTACATCAGTTACATCTGCATCAATATTATCTACATCAGTTACATCTTCATCACGATTAACATTAAATCAATATAAAAATTTACATTAGTTAGTTAAATATCTATATTGCTACATTTGTATTCTGACACCACAACAATAATTTCTGATCTAAATATTTGCCTAAATGTTGCTGTTTAACTTAATCTGAAATTTGAAAGTAAGCCAACTTTAAATATATGCCTATCTTAAAAATAAGCCATTTAGTCCAAATGACATTTGGACCTCTAAAATACATTGGATTATTAATAATCTGCCCTAGCATACTGAATATCTATGCTCTGTGCATAAGTTCTAAACAAAATGCGAAAATCTTGCCATACAATCCAGTATTAACTGAGATTGAACAATCATATTTCCTCAAAAATGATGAATTTAAAAATAAATATAAAAAATATTTCACATCCTTAGACTGTATGTAATTAAGATATCAGGAATCCATTTTACCATCAATGACCAATATTTCTCAGGTAGAAGGTGGGGGCAGGATGTCTACCTAAAAAGTGTGTCCTTCTCAGCAATAAGCTGAAAAAAATTGACTGATAACCATCATTCATTACTTGCTTTAACACATTTGAATTAATGTAAATTATCTCATTTGAAATTCTACAATATTATATTAATCTGAAATTCTACCCTATTATCTTCTATACTTATCCCATTTACAATTCATTAATATTATCCCAATCTGAAATTCTACACTTATTCTACACTTAAATCATTTGAAATTCTACACTATTATCTCATCTTTGACTCCACTCTATTATAGTATATACATATCTCATTTGAAATTCTACACTATTATCTCATCTTTGACTCCACTCTATTATAGTATATACATATCTCATTTGAAATTCTACACTATTATCTCATCTTTGACTCCACTCTATTATAGTATATACATATCTCATTTGAAATTCTACACTATTATCTCATCTTTGACTCCACTCTATTATAGTATATACATATCTCATTTGAAATTCTACACTATTATCTCATCTTTGACTCCACTCTATTATAGTATATACATATCTCATTTGAAATTCTACACTATTATCTCATCTTTGACTCCACTCTATTATAGTATATACATATCTCATTTGAAATTCTACACTATTATCTCATCTTTGACTCCACTCTATTATAGTATATACATATCTCATTTGAAATTCTACACTATTATCTCATCTTTGACTCCACTCTATTATAGTATATACATATCTCATTTGAAATTCTACACTATTATCTCATCTTTGTCTCCACTCTATTATAGTATATACATATCTCATTTGAAATTCTACACTATTATCCAAATCTAAAATATTCAACACTTATCTCATTTAAAACTCTCCACGATTATCCCAATCTGAAATTCTACACTTATTTTACATGTATCTCATTTGAAATTCTACACCATTATCTCATCTGAAATTCTACCCTATTATATTCTATACTTATCTCATTTTAAATTCTACACTGTTATCCCAATCTAAAGTTCTACACTATTATATATTCTAAATTTATCTCATATTCTATCTATTATCTCATCTGAAATTTTATAATATTATCTCATCTGAACTAACATATTTAATGTTATTTTTCGTTCCCTATTAATTGTTCATACACCATCAAGCCAAACAAAAAATAATTAATTAAAGGTATATTTTTTCATACACAAAACTTCACCTTTTGTTTGATCAACCTATTATTTTTCTTAAATAAAACGAGGCATCACTTTCATATGCAAAATGACCAATTTATTCTTTGCAGAGTATGTTTGGTATAATTTTACATGAGAATATAAATATTTTTTACCTCAATGAACCACAAACCAAATTATCTGGTATCTTCATGTAACTGAGGCATCCAATAATGAAAAATAATGAAAAAAAAAACAACCACCAGTAAAGAAATATTCACCAATTATAAATGTGTAGAAAACACTTTGCTCAGCTTACTTGGAAAGAGCGAATGTTTTATTAACTGAGAATCTATTTGCATTCATTATATTGCCCTTCTTTGTCTTTTGCATCAGCGAGAAAATATAAGGATTGATGTTTTTGTTCTGTTGTTGTCATTACAATTTATATACACTACTCTGGTGGGCTAGTGGTTAGAGCATCCACCTCGGATGTGGGAGAATGTGGGTTCAATCCCCGGTCAAGTCATACCAAAGACTTACAAAAATGGTACTAACAGCTGCCTGGCTTGACACTCAGCATTAAGAGGCTAGTATTAGGACTGATTCGCCTGGTGTTATGATAATGTGACTGGGTAGGACATCATGCTACATGTCTGCGGCATGATGCCCCAGTGCTAAACATCACTATAATCTGCCACAATGCAGACATCGTAGAGATATGACTGAAAAATTGTTAAAGCTCATTAAAAATTGTAATCACATCACAATTTATATCACTATTCATTAACAGCTGGACAAAATCGTCAATGAGCATTCTTTATTACGTCAGTCTTTAACCCAAGAAATGCGTGCATTTGAAAATGAGTTCTGAATCCATTTGAGTTTATTTGATCATTAAAAATAATATCTCAGTATAGGATAATGAAGTAAAGACCACAGACCACCGGGCTATAAATCTTGTTGATTTGATATAGTAATGAAGTTAAAGCTATAAAACCCAGTTAGTTTTAATCATAAATGCAAAAGTCATTGACTATATAAGTTCAATTTATATACAGGTAATATCCAACGTGGGATTACAAATTGCATCTTTGAAAAAAAAATGTTGTGTATATAATATAAAAATATATTTTGATACACGTTGCTTTATTGTTTACTCTTTATAAATTCATTTACCTTTCCCAATGGATTAGCACAAGTATCAATAAATTTATATTGTTCTTGAGCTCATGGGCTAGTCGTACACATTTTCAACTCCCCATGGGTAGCCTCATTTCCCTACGCAGAGCCTCCTTAATTTGATCTGTTGAGGTGCAACTCTCTCTCTCTCTCTCTCTCTCTCTCTGTTGTCAAGTGTTGTGTGTTCTGTTGACCTTGCTCGGGTATGATTTCTTTATTTTTCATACACGGTCATTACCACAAAATGATAATTATTTATTTTACATACAATTATATGTATACCGAAATTAATAATTATTCTTCTGTTTATGAAAAATAACATTAAATAGGGTATTACACTATTATCTCATCTGAAATTCTTAATCATTTTTTTCATCTGAAATTATACTTACATCTTATCTGATTTGTACATTATTTTCTCATCTGAAAACCTACTCTATTATATTCTACACTATTATCTCATCTGAAATACTACACTATTATATTCTACATTATCTCATTTGAAAACCTACACTATTATATTCTACACTATCATCTGAAATTCTACACTATTATCTCATCTAAAATTCTGCAGCGGAGGTAGGAAAATGTGAGACCTCCTTAATGTACAAAATAAACAGTTCTTGTATGATTCAATGGAAGTAAATGATGACAATGGTTATCACATAAACCATGTTAGACATTTACTAAATTATCATCTTTTGGGATTAAAATTGGTTTACAAAATGGAAAATACTGGCATAGACAAGTTTAACGACAACACTTAAGTCCATATTCACTTGTCAAAGTTTACCCACACAAGGTTAAATTGCCCAGCATTAAGTCTGAAAATGTTAGCTTGATTCAACGCTACATGTTATTGTCACACACAATTGTTGCAATGTTTACAACAACATATAACTCTGATTCAACACTATATGATATTGTCACAAAATTGTAGCAATGCTTACAACAACATATAACTGATACAACACTATTTGTCACACAAAACTGTAGCAATGCTTACAATAACACATAACTCTGATTCAACACTACATGATATTTGTCACACACAATTGTAGCAATGTTTACAACAACATACAACTTTGATTCAACACTATATGATATTGTCACACAACCGTAGCAATGCTTACAACAACACAAACTGATTCAACACTACATGATATTGTCACACAATTGTAGCAATGCTTACAACATATAACTTTGATTCAACACTATATGATATTGTCACACAATTGTAACAATGCTTACAACAACATATAACATTGATTCAACACTATATGATATTGTCACACACAATTATAGTAATGCTTACAACACATAACTTTGAAAAAATGTCATCCAGTAATTAAAGACCCACATAATGTTCCAGATCAAAACGTTATGTTTCTCTCCTTAAAGAGTTCATCCAATGCTTTTTCCATGGCATTATTGGTACCTCTTAATCCTGCGACGACTTTAGCAGCCCATTCAAAATATTCCTGTACCCTCTCTTCAGTCCAGCCTTTTGGTTTCTGTCTATTCAAATCACGGAGATTGTACAGTTTGTCAGCAAGTTTGACTAATTTTGCTTTGTTAGATGAATGAGGGCCATTAACAATCTGCAGATCCTTTCGCTGTTGTTTAGTGAGAGTTTTGTCATCTGTTACTTCTTTAACCAAACCTGAAAGAAAATCTGTCATTTACAAACAAGAAGTAGGGTAAAGATCAGTTTTAACAGAACTGCATGTACATTTTTACTTTTTATTTTTTATTTTCTTGCTGTTGGCATACATGTCAACTGTTAAGCCTGGATAGTGAAGTGTTAATGTGGTAAAGCAGTGATTTTGCAATTTTGAAGCCCCTACTCTGAACCTGTTCTAGGTAATGTAGGATAAGTCAATACCTAAAGAAATTCAGTGCGGTTAACTTGTGTCCTACACTTTTTTGTTAGAAAACTGCAAGATAACATTTTATCTATTTCATTTCTCATGTTAATAAGAAAAAAATGTTCCAATGCAGAAGAGAACAAAATGTTCTGCCAGAATTGTCAAGCACATGAAGCCAGCTTACAAGTAGTGAAGTGGGAAGGTTATATACATGTTTTTGAATATTGGGCATCATTCAGCGTCTTCAAAATATGAACTCAATATAATGGGCTTGCCATACAATAAATTTTAATATTCACATATGCAATACAAGTGAGTCTACCATGTTTCATCTGGCATAATATCTGGAAAATTTATAAATTATTATAATTGATTAAATTTTATGCTTAATCAGATATAAACATGCAAATAATGAATTTTGAATTTAAAATCAATCTCTGATACCACACTCATGCCAATTGTATGGTACAATTAATAGTATATAATTCACACCCACCTGCAAACAGTACAGGTCCAGATATGTTCCTACATATTTATATCACATCAGGGTGATGTTATTTGGATACAGGTTTAATGGGTTTATGAAAAGTCATACACATAATATTATATAATAACAACTTTCATGTATGGTTTTCTTCATCTTGACAAAAATCCCAAAATTCTTCTCAGGGATCAGAAAACTTTCATACCCCCCCCATGTCCCAGAAATGACTTAATTTTATTGGCTATTAATTAACCCAAGCAGTAATTAATTCATTATGTTTTATAATTTAACCTTGAAATCAAAACATTATATTCTGCTAGTAATTTGCCTTTAAATGTAAGCTAACCTAACCTTGAATTAAGTGAAACAATTTATCTGGTACATATCTTAAATACACATACATTAAGATGACTTATGGAGAGATCAACTTGTGTCTTCACACAAGAAACATTGAAGCTCCAAAACTTGTGAAAATATTTTGTAAAATCTTCTACTATTAAGACAGAATTTGCATGTTATTATTTAATTCTAAATTTAATGGAGCAATACTTCTTAATATGAAAAATACAAAATGTCAAGAAACTCAAAAGAAGTGTTGTCCCTGAACAAACATCTTTCTGTCATATAAAGAACATGTCAAACATTTGGACTTGCATAGATAACTGAAGTAAAACTTATGGATTTAAAGAAACAGCGACATCAAATTTAAGTTTCATAAATAACACATATTCAAACAAATGTAGTTGTTACCACAGAAGCTCATGATTCCATGTAACACTGATATTATCTAAGAAACACATCCCAGAAGAATTGTATTTTGTAGAAAATCTGCCTGTACAGATGGGATTAGTTTGATCAAGAAGACAGACAAAAAAGAAAAAGAAGATAGTACAAGATTCAGTACAATGGATCCAGATGCTGGCAACCTATAACTGGTAAATGGTTTAAAATTGATATGAGATAGTGAGGCAAAACTACAAATGCTAGATTACTAATCCTCTAGAATATGGATGGTACAATCATTGTCATTAAATCACTGACATTTTACATTAATGATGGAGGAATGGATAAGTGTTTAATATAATGAATGAAGTTATCATTACTGGAAATTAATGTGGAGAGTGAAGGTATAAATATATATTTCATTCTTCTGACCTTTAGCTGGGTACAAGACTGCAGTGCATGCTATATACACAAACAGAAACTGTTTTGAATTCAGAGAACTGTTTCTGCTATAGCACAGTTTGGTTGCTTTATGCAATATTTCTTTACTGTGAATCGTATGAACTATAGATACATTCAGCAGGGTATCATATTTTATGCACTGTTTTTGTTTATTTTCCTTTGGAATTTATTTTTTAGATATCACATCATACAATGGAACTTTAGTACCACGATTAACAGAATTATTCAAGGCAATAATAATAATAATAATAATAATAATAATAATAATAATAATAATAATAATAATATTATTATAGTATTATTATTAGTAGTAGTATTTTATTATTATTATTATTATTATTATTATTATTATTATTATTATTATTATTATACCATCATCATCATCATCATCATCATCATTATTATTATTATTATTATTATTATTATTATTATTATTATTATTATTATTATTATTATATCATCATCATCATCATTATTATTATTATTATTATTATTATTATTATTATTATTATTATTATTATTATTATTTCCTCCAGCTTTAAAATTGACAAAAAATACAATGGTAACATCATAATCAAAGTAATTGATGGAATATTTATTATGTCACAATCTACAAACAAGTTTGAGTATATTGACAACCATGTGAGAAACAATTTTCACATCTTCAAAGCAACTTCATTTAATGCTGTCAAATTGTGAAGAAATGATCAATGTGAAATGTTCAATGTGACATGTTTTAGTTCATGTTGTTATGTATGATAGCTACCAAGCATACTTTACATCAGCCAGGTAAAATCTTGTTTTAATAAT